AATGAGCTTCGTTGCCAGCAGTACCTCTGTGCCCTTGAACTCCATCATCAGTATCATGACTGTGATTACTCCTTATGGAAGAATCAGTGATCTCTCTGCTGCCCAGTTTGATACCCATTAAGGATATCCACAAGATATAAAGGGTCTTCCGCAGAGGAGGTGCTGGAGAAGTGTTTGTGGACTATATGAAGGTTCAAGGATGGAGCAGCTGAGCAATATTTATGCTGATTATAGATAATTTCTTGATTTGGGAAAAAGTCAAACTCCACATAGGAACAGTCTCTTTGGAGACCTCTGGAGAAATGAGCAATAAATCTAACAGGTTTGTTTGGAATTCTCCTAAGACTGGTAAGTCACAAGTTTCTACTTTTTAGGTGGCTCTACCTAAGACGTGTTGTTTAGTCACTAAGTCGTGTCCAACTCTTTTGTGACCCCATGGACTGTAGCCCGCCAGGCTCCTCTGTCCATGGGATCTAGTTCATTATTTCTACTAAAAATAACTTAGAGACTGAATGTCTTTCAAAGTGTGAAATTTGATGAGTGTGTGAGATCATGCGATTTTATTTCTCCCGTTTGGGCTTTCTCATCATTTATAACTAGAACTGAGAGCAACAAAAATGAAGCTCTGTAAGTCTATAGCTTCCTACTAACCCACTTCAGTTTTCAAATTGCTTTGGGATTTTTATGAACCATCCCTGTGAAGTTCATAAAAAGCAAACACAGTTGACATGATATGTGAGAGAGAAATACAAAATGTTCAGCATAACCATTTTATTATTATAAACATGGAGTCAACAGCTTGATTTAGCAATAAGTCTTAAGGAATTTCCTGGTGGTCCAGTGGTTGCGACTCCTTGCTTTCACTGCTGAGGGCCCAGGTTCGCTCTCTGGTCAGGAACCTAGGACCTCACAAGCCACATCTAGTATTAATGAGTGTGTGTGCTTCTACACACACAACGATGAGAACTGGTGTCAGCTCCCAGTCATGGTCAGGTGAGGGCATAATGGTTCTAAAAGAGCAAAGTAGAAAGAGTGGGGGCAGGAGAGAGGAGGGATTGGAAAGAGAAACGGACTAAAATTAATATTTCATGGACATCCCAAATGTGTCAAGCGCTGTGCTAGGCATTTTCACTTACAATTTCATTGAATCCTTGAAGTATCCTTGCAGCGCACACACTTTCTAAATTCTCATAACACGGATAAAAAATGTGGCAAGTACTATTTTAAAGAGAGGAGAAGAGGAGGAAGAGGAAGAGGATGAGGATTGGAAAGGGGGGTGAAAGGAAGGAAAGGGGTAAAAGAAAGAAGGAGGGAAGGAGTGTTAGGGAGGAGGGAGACGTCAGGCTTGCCTCATCTGAAAAACTTTGAATTTTTGGGACCCTGCATTATTTACCTCATTATTCTGAGCCTGCCCCTGCACCCCACCCAACTAAATCCAGTTGTTAAACTAATTGGATCATGTGGGTATAATGTGGATAACTAAGACTTGTTTCACACTCTGGAGGAAGGAGATTAGGCCCAGTTCACAGCTTTTCAACTGCTCTTATTAGCTTTGCAGGGATCTTTTCTAAAGAGGATACCCCACTTCCATGGGGATCTATTTTTTTATCCTCCAATTCTGCTTCCAGAACATTATCGTTTTGAACAATTCTTGCAAATCTAGAGGCAACAGATTTTGATGGTAGTAGGAAGTGGCATGCTCCTTACTCTTGTCACTTACAACTGCATTTTGTAGTGAATGGTCTAGAAATCTAGAACCACTTTTCCAAGCTCAAGCATGACCCAGAAAAAAGAAAACCTCCTTGCATTCTTTTCAAAGTAATATATGTGATTTTGGAATTTCTGTATTAAGTCCTTTCTTCGTAGGAGAAAATAAAATCCACCTTAAAATGATAAAATATTCAATCCAGTTTTGCCAAGTGGAGTCTAATTTCAGTTCACATATTATAATTTATAATTCTGAGTCCTAGGAGCCAAGCCCCCTTAGACCACCCCTTCTTTCCATCCAGGCTTATCATTTGGAGATCTCATAGCTTCCTTGTCTGCAAACACCATCTGGTGGAAGTGAGAACACTGCTAATGACCTACATGCTTTTGGGTACATAGAGACCAGGGGCTAGTTGTTAGTATCTCATTGGGGGAGTGGCATCTTTGAGAAGAGAGCTGATGATGCTCCCTGGCAGGAAAAGGGTGAGAGGGCAGGAGGGGTAGGTACAGGGGAGAGAGGGAAAGTGTGTCCTGAAGCTTTGCTGTAGGCTTGCCAGAATCTGGGGAAGTGTGGGGTGGTGGTGGGGGAGAAAGCCTACTCACAGAAGAATTAGATGGTTAAAGAATTCGTAATAGGGACTTCCCTGCTGGACCAGTGGTTAAGACTGTGCTTCCACTGCCAGGGGTGAGAGCTCCATCCCTGGTCAGGGAACTTAAGTTCCTGCATGCTGCACAGTGCAGCCAAAAGAGAAAAAGGAAAGAATTCATGATAATTAAAAGGATGTTTTTGTGTTAGAGAGGAAGAATACAGCCACAAAAACATAATTACTGCAAAATATGCTGCACTCGACCAAATAGCCACTTGATGAGTACCACTGTGCCTCTGCTAGAAAGAAACCAGCTCTTTCGTGAGAGGAAAAACATGGGTATTATGTCTATTTGCATGCTCATGTTAATGGTTCACAGTCCAGCCATTAATTAAACAATAAATCCTTACAAGATAGGACTGGATCAAATAATGCACAGTCTGGCAAGTAGTTTATGAGAGGATGATTCTGGAAATAGGGTCAAGCCTGGGACTCGCTGGGCGCCCACCAAGCATCTGCAGTCACAGGTCTAGAAGAGTATAGACCAGTTTGAATGAGGTATTATATCTGTTTGAGGGGTTTTCTTTTCCCAAATGCTACTTTGTAAAGGGTGGTTTGCCTGGATTTATGAGAGAAGAGCTGATGAAAGAGAACAGCAGGACCATTCCAGGTGAGCCTGCTGTAAAGGGTTCCTGTTTGAGTTAGGGATTCAGCTGACAGCCTGCAAGGCTATTAGAGTGACACCAGGCTTTTTGGTAACTTTCCTGCAGTCTGTGGCCAGTGGGGCAGTTTCAGCCCTGCATGAATGGTTTAGTCACTAAGTCGTGTCCGACTCTTGCAACCCATGGACTGTAGCCCACCAGGCTCCTCTGTCCATGGAATTTTCCAGGCAAGAGTACTGGAGTGGATTGCCATTTCTTTCTCCAACCCACGTGGATTAGGAGTTTATATTTAGTTAGAAACACCTGTCCAAGAAGTTGAGGAGTCTTTTTTTTTTTTTGTTTGTTTTCCCAGTTTGAGACATAATGGAGCAGACCCAGGTAGGCATGCGAATAGCATCTATTTACACACAGGCAGGGCTATGCTGTTTTCCTGGACAATCATTTTTTTCTGCATTTCCTGGAGGAAGTCTTGGAATCACAAATCACAATTTGTGGCTTGCTCTGAGTAATGAGTCATTTGATGGAATTTCATTTGGTAGATTTAAAGAGAGTTAGTGTTGATCTATGAAGCCAGATGATTTAAGAAATTGAAGCAGTAACAAGTAAATTGCTTTTCTCTTGTACTGCAAAATGCTTTCTAGGCGTTTTCGGCTTTTCTTTTTAAAATGGATTTATAATACTGTTTCTCGCCACCTCAAGGCTCAAGTTTTGAGCTTTGCTCTGTTGAATCCTAAATGGTTCCTCATTTCCCACGAACAGATTGTCCAATGGAGTTTTGAATATCTTGTTTTGGACCGTAGGAGCTAGAGTTTTTTTAATTCTCCTGGAAACAAATGAATATACATTTCCTTTTAGAGGTTTTATGTCTTCTGACTGATTTCATGAAAAAAAAAAACCAACTATGCACATCCAAGTTCAAATTATTTGCTTTTATAATCAAGACGTGCCATTGACCAGCCCACCCTCACTTGCCTTTATTTATCTGTTTATCTGGGAGGGGAGAGGAGGTGGCTGCTAGAGGGGACAAAGAAAAGAACAAGCCTGGCTGCTTCCTTCAGACCACTCACTGGCCTCTGAGCAGGAGAGATTTGCGAGTGCACACTTCCTGGAACTGTTCACAAAGTGCTGGGGTGGGCGCGGGGGCAGGCAGCTGCCTCTCAGAGCAAACAGGGTACCTCCAGGAAGGCCGGAACGGAGAATCTCTCTGCCCCGAGAAGTGGAAAGACCAGAGAGGCTCCCAGTGGGCCTTTTGTGTCTTTCTAAGTTCTCCTGCCGTCCCTCCCCTTGTGAACACGCGCCCCGCCCCCAGCAACTTCAAGGCGCTATGTTGCCAGGACCCTTGAGAGTCAGTCATGGTGAGAGGCAAATTGCAAGTGACACATGAAAAAAGATCCCTGTGTTAATTGCCTGCACGTCACAGAAATTCCACAGATCTTGAGCTCATTGAGGGAAGATACGGTGTGACTCAAGGTTTGTAATCCCAGAACCCAGCTGACAGTGTTGCCAATGGTTGATACTCACTAAGTGTTTCAAGCTGCCGAGAAAAATAAAGTACCACAGGAGTCCGGAGGAGGGGACAGCTGACCCACAAACGGGGTCCTGGAACCGTGCTGAAGAATGTGTTGTGATGAATAAGATCTAGAATTTGAAAGAGGACTTGGGACAGGTCAGGGCTCTCACTACCAGAACAGGTGAGGCATTGAAATAGGAAAGTGAAATTAATATAGCAGATTTTTCATCAGTCTGGTTCTCGAAACCACAGGGACCACTCGGTGAGCCTGGAGTTTGGTGGCTTCAAGAAGACATATAAATGTACAAGAATTCAATTCATACAGCTACAGTTAGATGAGGACTTCCAGGAAGATGCTGAAACGAGGAGTAATCATGGGGTATTGTTGAAGCGAGCAGCTGTCCTTACAGGGTTGCTGTCAGAGATGGGGGCGGGGGACTCTGTAGGTCTGCTTGCTGGAAATGGTCCTCTGTCCTACTTCTCTTGTTGCACTGCTCATCCATACAGCTTTACCTCTTGTACGGATTTTCCACCATGGTGGCCTTTGTAAGACATAAGGTGAACAAACTGCTTATTAAGGTAAGACAATGGAGGCCCCATTTTAAAAAGGTTAAGATGTACTCAAAAGTGTCAGAGCATCCCGGGAATCATTAACAGTGTACGGAATGCACAGCCTGGTATTTTCCAAAGGCCACACTAACCTTTTCAAGCATAGAGCAGGCTAAAAGGAATAGATTTCCTCACCATTTGATGAGTGAAGAAATCTTTTAAATGCTTATTTTTATTTACTCGCAGAAAATCATCTCTGTGGAGCTCAACACAGGGAAATGAATCTCGAACATTTTAGCAACTCACTTAAAATATCATTAGAGAGTACTTGGCTTATTAAAAGCTGAAAACCAAAGACCAGGAGACCTCTGGAACTAATAACACCTAGAGAATAAGCCAGAGGCACCTATGCCCTTGTGTTTGCCAAAAATGTCTTTGAGTTTAAACTCCTCATTGTTAAGGAGGGAAACTTAAGTTTTGTCAAACCTTTTTTTCCCTTTAAGTACACCCACTTTTCTATGTAATTGGCTCAACACTGCTATTTGCATAATAGTCATATTTTTCTGCTTCCCAAGAGGTCTGTTAAGTGGAAAGGTGAACTACAAAGCTTTGCCGAAGTGCACATTTGTGTGTGATGTGCAATTCTCAAATCACGAAGAAAATTATATTGTTTCCATTGAGTTTATCTTACATTTCGAAACTGAGGATTCAAAACTTACTGACCCCTGAGCCATGTTTAACCTGCTTTCCTAAAACGCTGCCAAAGAACCATTTCCTGAGCCCTGACTCTTCGAATAATGTTGGTGCCATGAACCCTGAGTTTATCAATGCCCTAAAGCAAAGGCTTTTCTCTTTCAGCTTTGGTTTAACGATAAGATTTTTCAGTTGGAATCAGGGATTTCCTCACAGCGGGGCCATGTGTTAGCTAGGAGGTTAACTATCAGATGAATCCTTTATCCCCCACCCCACCCCCCAAGTCTTGGTTTGTTGAACTGTGAAGTGAGAGATATCTTTAATTCCAAGTGTATTGGGTATTTGCGTCTAAGGATGTATGTTACCCAGGTCTTGATACATAGTAGGTATTTAAGAAATATGTGATATTATCTTTTTTTCTTTTCTTTTGGAAGAAGAGGACAGATAAGCGAGTGTCTGTCCTGGATTTATTTATTTTTAAATTTACTTTTATTTGGCTGAGTGAGGTCTTGATTGTGTCATGTGGGATCTTTCCTTGTGGTATGCAGGCCCCAGAGCACATAGGCTCTCTAGTTGAGGCACGCGGGCTCTGTCATAGTGGCGCTCATGCTTAAGTTTAGTTGCTCCATGGCATGTGGGATCTTAGTTCCCCGACCAGGGATGGAACCCACATCCCCTCCATTGCAAGGTGGATTCTTAACCGCTGGACCACCAAGGAAGTCCTGAGGATGACATTTAAATGAATCAGAGGGCTTGAACTTAGGCGTGAGGAAGACTTAGATTTGAATTCTGCCTCTACTGCTTTTTGTGGCGGGGGAAGGGACAGGGGGCTGTGTGATCTCAAGCAGGTAACTGAGCATGGGAGCCTCGGCTTTTTTATTTGCCGTGTGGCCATAGGTAACATAAATATGCATCTCCAAGTTTGTGTTGTGAGGATTAAGTGAGATAGTGCATATAAAAGCATGTAAGTGCTCATATTGCTGTGGTTGGTATTGTTACGTCCTTCACAGCGGTCATGATCAGTTTGGGGTTACTGCTGATGGTGTCCTGAAAACGTGTTCCCTCCAGATTTGCTGGGTTTTGTCTCATGACTTCTCGTATTCGGAGATGGTGAAATGTGCAACTTCCTTTCCTGTGAATGCCCTTGGAAGCCTCTTGCCCACTTCCTTCCTGAGTATGGGGTGGGGTGGGGGCTAGGTCCTTGCAGGTTTCCTGATTGCTGTGTGCTTCTGGCTGTAGCTGGAGGGCATCAGATTGCAGTGTGGAATGGAGGAATGGTATTCTGTGTGTGATAGTGATCAGATCAGGAAGATAACAGGACACTTGGCATCCGGCATCTGACAACTTGTCACACAGGTCACTTTTGAGCCCTAGTTTCCCCTTGACAAGGTTAGCCACTCATGCCAAGGGTTTCATGGCCAGAATTCTGGCTGAGCAATAAACCCTGACAGAGAGGGAAAATGTAGGCTGGCAAGAAGGCTGGCATGGCCCTTAGTGTCACAGGCTGGGACTTGCATTCATATGAATGAATCACTTATCAATTGGTTTCGCTCAGGGACCAATGCAACATAAACTGATCAGAATAAAGGGGAGTGGAAAGAATCTAAATTTCTAATGACAAGGAGTTAAATGTGTTATCATAAATTACTCTCTGGATAGATTACTCTATGCAATTATTTTTAAAGGAAAACTTGGTAATTAACATTAGAAAAAACTTATAATGTTAGCTGAAACAAAACATACAAACATAAATATATTGTATGCTATATAAATTTAGTGTAATTAGAAACTTAAAACAAGAACAGTAGGCAAATCTACAAAGACAGACAGTAGATTAGTGGCTGCCTAGGGTTGGGGGATGATGGCTAAGGGGTGTGGGGTTTCTCTGGGGACTCATGAAAAATATTCCAGTATTGATTGTGATTAAGATTGTACATATCTGTGAATATGCTAAGGAACATTGAATTTTTCCATTTTAAATGTATGAGATGTATGTTATGTGAATTATATCTCGATAAAGCTGTTAACAAAAATCAACAGCAACAAACCTTATATATTATTTGCTTACAGCTTATTAACTAAATGAGAATTATTTAACCAGATATTCATATCATCAATGTTCTTGGTTTTGCCTTATTAGATTTACATAGTTTGTTTCTGAATACATCTCCCTCCAGTTACTGAAAACATACCAAGAGCATATCTTGCTTTAAATATAAAACTCATACAACCTGAGTCAATATTGTCCTTTGGAAGAGTCAACAAATTTCAGGATCTGATTGGTGAAAAATGTTAAAACTTAAGACGTCTGCTGTTATTAACACTCTTACTAGAAATTCATTCCTCCTGTGTTCTAGCCTCCTTTGCCTTTACTTTGAGCACAACTAAAATCTTCTTACAGTGTTTCTGTGCATAAGTGATTATATGTGTGAATGTGGTATGCATGTATGAGTGACTCTGTGTGTGCATGCATCTGTGTGTATGTGTGTGTGCACATACTGTATGTGTGTATGTGATATTAATGTTTTACTTTTTATGTGCATGGAGGCCTATCTAGAAAAGAAATAAAGAGCCAAAGAGGTGGTTAAATACTGGGGGCTTTGATACCATTTTAGCAGAGGGTGATGTATTTGTGGAGAAGTTGAAAGGGCTTCCCTTGTGGCTCAGAGGTAAGAATCTGCCCACAATGCAGGAAACCTTGGTTCGATCCCTGGATTGGGAAGATCCCCTGGAGATGGAAATAGCAACCCAGTCCAGTTTCTTGCCTGGAAAATTCCATGGACAGAGGAGTCTGGTGGGCTACAGTCCATGGGGTCACCAAGAGTCAGACATAATTGAGCGACTAACGCTTTACTTTACTTGACAAGGCAAAGGAGAAGGGGTTTGGGATTCTAGGAGTGGAATATTGTGGGAAGGTAACTATATGGGGAAAACTAATGGCAGAGAAAGATTATTTTGGTAGGGCTTGTTTGTGCAGACCCATCTCCATGTTGATTTTCTGTCTCCAGTGATATCACTTGTCTCTTCCTGGTTCGGGAGACTAGACAGAGGCTGCTTTTCACAGGGAGAAATTTATACCCTGCTTTTTGGCTGAAAGGGGAAGGGCAGAAAATTCCTCTATGTCCCCTGCTTCTCAATTGCCTTCAGCTCAGTATAACTCAGTGGTAAAGAAGAATCCTCCTGTCAATGCAGGAGATGCAGGGGACACATGTTCGATCCTTGGGTGGGGAAGATCACCTGGAGGAGGAAATGGCAACCCACTCGAGTATTCTTGCCTGAAAAATCCCATGAACAGAGGAGCCTGGAGGGCTACAGTCCGTGGGGTTGCAAAGAGTTGGACATGACTGAATATGCATGCTCTCTCAGTATAATTCTTATGCCAAAGAGGCATCATTTGGGGCAGTATATTCTGGTCCTCTTCATAATCATAATGCAGCTCAAATTTACAAATCTTGATCTTAAATCTAATTTATAAATTCAAACAAGAATTAGTTTTTGTTAAAACGTTCAGAGAAGTGAGCTTCAAACCATGGAGACTGAAGAACTGGTGGGAAGATGAACTTTTGTGAATAATTTTTTAAAATTAATTAATTTATTTTAATTGGAGGCTAATTACTTTGCAATATTGTTGTGTTTTTTTGCCATACATTGACATGAATCAGCCATGGGTGTACATGTGTTCCCCATCCTGATCCCCCCTCCCACCTCCCTCCCCATCCCATCCCTCTGCGTCATCTCAGTGCACCAGCCCCAAACACCCTGTCTCATGCATCGAACCTGGACTGGTGATCTGTTTCACATATGATAATATACATGTTTCAATGCTATTCTCTCAAATCATCCTACCCTAGCCTTCTCCCATAGAGTCCAAAAGACTGTTGTTTACATTTGTGTTTCTTTTGCTGTCTCGCATATAGGGTCATCGTTACTATCTTTCTAAATTCCATATATATGCGTTAGTATACTGTATTGGTGTTTTTTTTTTTTTTTTACTGGCTTACTTCACTCTGTATAATAGGCTCCAGTTTCATCCCCCTCATTAGAACTGATTCAAATGCATTCTTTCTGATGGCTGAGTAATATTCCATTGTGTGTATGTACCACAGCTTTCTTATCCATTCATCTGCTGGTGGACATCTAGGTTGCTTCCATGTCCTGGCTATTGTAAACAGTGCTGCGATGAACATTGGGGTCCACGTGCCTCTTTCAATTCTGGTTTCCTTGGTGTGTATGCCCAGCAGTGGGACTGCTGGGTCATATGGCAGTTCTATTTCCAGTTTTTTAAGGAATCTCCACACTATCCTCCATTGTGGCTGTACTAGTTTGCATTCCCACCA